TTTTCAATTGTTAAAATCTTGTCAAAATCTGGTTCCAGATGTGCAACTGAGCAGCCTCTAGTATTCATCAGAGAATAATTTCTCCAATTCAGTATTTTGATTAAAAAATGCCTCACTGCATCAGTACTATTAAATGTGCATTATGCTACCATGTGTACTGATGATTATAGTTGAAAGATGGTGTAAACTTACTTTGTGTGGTGACAAGGTAAAATTATAGGTTACAGTGATTCCAAGGCATATACTGCACTCCTGTATCACAATGTTATTCATTCCTTTGCATTGTGTGACAAGTGAAATGTTTTTATTAAGCAGTGGTAGGCAATTTGGTTTTCAAACATCATATCACTTCCCAAGCTGATGTCAGTTGGATTCGTGAGATGGGTGATTGTTTTAATCTGCAGCTGATACTCTGACATGTTTTGTGATGTTCAGTTGCAGTGATACATGCCAGCACCTATTGGCTGGTTGGGTGGGTAAAAACACAAGTCTTATGTTGCCAATATTTGTTATTGCACTATGGCACTGCCAAAACCATAACCTTGTCGACACTACTTTCCTGTTTGGATTTGATTTTAAATCCCTATGTGCATAGACCATAATTAAGTTTTTGTAAAGCTGCTTTGCCTTTCACTTTAGTCCTCTAAATCTGAGACCTTCCAATGATTTAATGACCTGATTATATGCTTAATGGGTACATTGCCTTTTATTTCATTTAAGCTGCCTTGCATTGTTTTAGTATTTTTTTAAAGCAAAGTAAGCATACCTTTTGAGCAAAAAGCTTAAACCTTTATTTGTTGAATGTAGAATCTGCTCATTAATGCTTACCTGTATTTTTAATGTCAAATAAACAAATTACAGTTGCCTATAGCATGAATCACACTGCAGTATAGTGACTACAGCCAATTACACTGACAAACAGTATCAAGACGACAGCCATGATAAAATAATAATGAAGTAGCACTGTGACAGTCCTATTAGCCTGCTATGTAGTCATATGGGAATGTCATATGTAATGAACATCCCTGCTAAAGTCAGAATAGCAGCAGCAACACTAAAGCAAGTGTCATGGAAACAGCTCACAACTGAAGTGAGGACAATATTTGGGCTTGTACACTCCACGACACAAAGGAGCTTTATGAAGTATTCTTGTGTAGCTCAAGCTGTACAGCCAGAGTTTTGAATTCAATAAGAACTGATTTTACTGTATTTGTTGAGACCCTCCAAAAAAAAAATTGTATAGACCAGACAGGACAGCAGAGGACAGCAGGGAAAGTGCTTTGCACAGTTTTTCAAATGTGGAGCTTTGAGCTGAATCAGACTGACCTGACCTCCCCTGGGTCTTCAGTAACCAACACGTCTGTCTTACAGCTGGCGATGGGGTTGATTGATAGTTCCACTGGTGGCACCACAAAGCTCTTGCTGACTGGCAGCCACAACCCTTGCCCGAGACTGTAGAATGATCTGTGTTGGCACAACCACAAAGCATAAATGTCAGTCAACCTAATTTCACATTACAACATTTTGTTATTAGTAGGGGTGTGACGAGATCTCGTACCTCGAGATCTCACAATATGAAAATAAGCCAATATATCTCATCGAGGTGAAAAGCTGTCTCACAATTTTAGCAAGACTAAGTGTGAGGGTGAAATTAGCATTTAAATCGTTTGTGTGGCAGCTTTTTGGGTACGCGGTGGAAACAATAAATTGCGATAGAGTGACAGACAAGAGACAAAAAATATGTAAGCAACATTTTAAAATACACCTGCATTGTTTTGCATTTTGTGACTTTTAGTCGAATAAAATTTTGCCAGTCATACATTTCACACATTTTGTACAGTATGTATATACATAAGCATACAAAGATACAATTGCAGCAATGAGCACAAACAACAAAAAGTGTAGGCTTAAAAGACTCAGTAAATGGGTGGTGATAGACTGACAGAAAGACAGCAAGGATTTTATATTGCTGGCACATTATATAATTTTATATATTAAGGGTAATATAATGATAAATATGTCTTATGATTCTAAATAGCGTTCGGGATTAAATACAATATACAAATATGTTTCTGGATCATCAGATTCACATTAAAGTAATCACTACAATCTTACAGGGTTTTAAATGATATATTATAATATATTATAAATTATTTTATTTAAAGACTGGGTTTTGTTTAATATGTTTTTAGAATGCAACAAAAGTAGAACCACATTCAATAGTAAAATAAACTCATAGCCAATTCATAGCACTCATTCTGACCTACCCTCATAGTCAATACTCTATTATATACTATTATTATTATATTATATTAGCTATAAAGACCAGATATTCAAATGTAATGTGCTCAGCAGCACAATGCTTTGTGTGACACGTGTGCTGATGACCATTGTTCAAGATGGTGTAAAAATAATTTCATTTTGCCAGAACACTTTCTCCCCAGTGAAGATTATATCCTCAGGACGACACCCTGCAGGGGGGCCTAGACTTTTCACTTGGGAATAACGACACCTGGTAGGGCCTCACAAATAGCACAGGATATGGCTGTGCTTTGCATCATGTCTTTTAATGTATCTGAGCAGGTGGGCGACAATACCACACATTCTAGAAGAACCAAGCTTGGTGCTACATGTACTCAAAGTCTCTCATTTGACTCCCACATTAAATAAATCAAATTATTCACTGTTAAATATTGCTGACACTCAACCTGTTAAACATGCTTTTGTATGTGTACAAGACCTGATTACTGAAACACCCTGTTTTCTGCACTGACAAACCTCAGCATTAAAAACCTTCAACCTCAACAAAACTGCTGCCAGTATATTAATTAGAATCTGAATGCACTGCACTCATTCTGACCTCCCCTCACTATCTAGGCAATTCAATAAAAAATTGCTCTCAAAGTTTTTATTATTAACATTTAATCAATTACATTTTCATCTGACCATTCTTTATGTTACACTCGTGCCTTCAGATCAAAGTTGCATTTTTTCCTAGCATCAAGAATAAAAAGTAAGAGGCAGCACTGGTTTCCCGCAAAGCTCCCCATATGTGAAACCAATCCCTGTTATGATTAAGCCCATCTTTTCACTGCCATAGGACTGACTAACATTGGCCTGCCGAAGAGCAATGAAGTCTTTTCTCCCATCCTCCCCTACACAGCACTGACATAAAAACCTTCCAATGGGAACCCAGTGAGGGTTTTTCCACTTGGTTGCTGCATCTTTACTCACTTTGTCTGCTATCCCAGTGTGGGATAGTATTGTGCTCTGCAACTGTGTGTGTGTGTGTGTGCCGTTGTTATTTCATCTATCTTCTCTCACAAACTCTAGACCGACAGCGCTTCAACCAAGCAGTAGATTTGGTTGCTGCTTGTGTGTGTGTGTATGTGTGTATGACGGCGCCATTGGAGTACTGCTTTTAACTGGCAGTGGACAGCTGAAAGATGGAATGTGTTTTTGTGCAGAACGAAGATTGCAGATGTAGTACCTCATTTCTTAGAGTGGACTCACGCCGAGAAGCAAACTCTGCAAGGTCAGTGTGAAGACGAGCGAGATTACTCTGACAGAGAACTCTTCCTACCTACACACTGGAGGGGTAGTGAGCATGACTGCTATCCTTTAACTCAATTAAGTTACACAGCTGAATGCAGATAAGACCAAATTAGCTTTTAAAAGGTGCATAGACAAAAAGGGCACATGTTTATAGACAATTACTACTGTTGTTATTATTGTTTAGGGTTACAAGGCAGTGCATTACATTCATTTTACTTTTTACCAACTTTTCATGAAAAAGTCAATATCAAGTGGGTGTTCGTGAACAAGCATGGTCCCACAGTGCCTGATTACCAACTGGTAGAGCAAATCCATACCACAGTGCATAACATTAGCATATTCCATATTTTACCTACATTCATAATATGTGTTAAAAGCTCTATCTACAAAGCCATATAGTCATCATTAACATGAGTATTTTGTTTGTATAAAAAAGCCTTTGTCCATGTAACACACAAGGTCAAGTTGCTCTGTACTATTTAAAGGAAAAAAATAAAAATAAAATATAAAAGGTACAAAACAAGATACTTTATGCTTTATAATAAATTAAAATTATTATTATATTGTTATGAAACATGCTAAAAGGAACAGCTAAGTGATAGGGAATGGGTCCTTTTAGCCTTGCACTTTTTGAAAAATGTAAGACACAATGATCAAGAATAAAAAGTGTAAGAAAAATGGCAGTAAAGCGTCCATCCAGAACTGCCCCTTGGGCTATTTCTCCACACAAAAGCCCATGGGTGAGACTTCACCTAGCACAAGGTGTATATGTGTGTCCATCCAACTGTGTCTATGTGTATCTGCCGGCTGCTTATCTGTATGCTCAGTCACATGCTCAAACACACACACACACACACGCGTGCAAACACATGCCAAAAACACCACCATCATTTGTGTGTCCACAGAGTCACAGATGGCCAGCAGAAGTTGTGCTCTCCTGTGCTCTCAGGAGGTGCACCAGAAGTGAAGGACTCACCTGAAGATCCTCTCTGGGGCCTGCTCTCCTGTAACTAGGTCATAGCCTTTCTCCAAGTTAGCGTATGGCCAAGGACTTGAGGACAAAGAACAGGGAACAGCAAACCAGAGAGAAAAATATATGAACATTTCAATTTGAAAATAATATTGTGTACAACATTTAAATGTGTTTATGTAATCTGAGTAAAAATCTAGGATGATCATGTTTTTTCATTCATAAAGATGTTGCAGTTGTTGCAGCAATTTAAATACTCCACACAGTGTGTATAGAGTAATACAATATACCAAATAAATAAATAAATAAATACAAGGTCAAAACTAACATCCCTTGATCAAAGGATCTGTTTTCGAATGGGTAAGAGTACCCTCTGTCAGCTGTTAATCCTACAAAACTGTGAATGGAAATTTGATCTGTGACTGGACTGAATCCAGCAGATGACAGGTGGAGTTGACTAACAATGTGAGACCTTTTAAATGAACCGATAATTGGGCAAGCCAACTAATTGTCAAACAAGGTCAGAGTCAGAGAGAGGGCTCACGTAACTTACTTTTCTCTCCCTATCATGTCAATTTCTACTATTGGTTTTTTTGTTGTTTGTGTTGCTCTCTATGTATTGCTCTCCCTCTCTCTCTCTGGCCTTCCCTGCTAAGTAAGTTATTAATTAATTCCAACCGTGGTTTCCATTCATTTGAATACCCCGAGACTGGAGAGACTTGCTCCAGAAGGCTAATCCATCACAGCGAACAATTCACCTTTATTTTAAGTAAAGTTAATATCGTGCGCTAATGCAGTTGGGAGTAGGGACTGCGAAACCAGCCGTAAGGTCATTTGACTACGAGTGACTTTTCGGATATGAGTGGATAGCGCAAGCAGGACTTACCCTTCATTTCGACCCCAGTCGCTGCGAACACAGAGGTGTTTGTGGACAGGATCGGGGGAATAACCCTCATGACAGCTGCATTCTCCTGTGACAGAGAAAACAATATGGGGCACAGTGGCAGATATTATTTATCCTCAATAGCTGAATAAATTACCATGCAAGTAATCTGGCCCTGCTCATTTACAGTATTAGAGATGCATCGAATAAAACATTTTCCATGCAACAAAATCCTCTAGCTAATTTTCTTCAGCGAACAAAACTGGAGTATATTTACAGGGATACCAGTACCATTAGCTGGGCTATTTCCTGAAACAGTTTACAAAACGTAGTAGCAATCATTCTCTTGGATTGTTCATCATCAAGCCATCAAGATGAATTTGCATATTTCCACTCCCTCTAAATCTTTTAGATAACACTAAGCATTATGACTGCACATATTTTGTCATGTGCACCAGCTTAACAAGAGTGCTGAGGTCACCATGAGTCAGCACTCAAATAAGAACTGTGACAAACGTTTGCTCATTTGCACACACACTGGTACTCCCTGGAGTCAATGAAATGGATTTTGTTGGCTAGAATGTGACAAAAGTGACTGGGTTTCTGTTTGCTCCCATTATCGCTATAAGTCTTTATCATCCTCACAAAGTTATTTTTGTGAAAGTGAGAATCTCAGAGTCTCAGTCTCAGTACAAGATCTCCGCTCAGTTCTCTTCAGTTGTCTGGGTAGCACCCATGCCAGAACGCATTCAGAGATTCAGATGGCAGAAGAGCAGCTTTGCATCTGGTGCTGCTGCCTCAAAAGCTAGCCATTACATTTAAAACCACCCGTTGCTTTTCGTAATGTAACATGCTTGTCAATGTCATAGTACTTTTAATAACCAGTCAAAGTGACTAGTTGGTAGTAAAAATGTAGTTGGTGTGTGTGTGGAATGAATGTGATGTATTTCTTCCTGTGACGCCCTGTGTGGGTGTGGCCTCTCTCTTTGTTGTCTTCTAATTCTGCAGGAGGTTGCTGTCAAGGCCAGGTCAGACCTCTCTGCAGACAGCTCCCCGGTTTCCCCTTTAGTTTGGTTTTCTTTGGTTTTAGACTCTTACTCTGTGGTATTTACCTTGTTTTTGCCTACTACAACACCTTTACACATATACATTCATGCAACCATCATCCTGCACAGACTACATACCTCATACTTTGATTAGATTAGTTTGAAATACCTCTTAATTTGGTTAACTTTGGTTTAAATAAACATATTTTGTTAAACTTTTACCATGGTGTGTCTCCCTGTTGTTGTGGCCTTTTGAGCCAGGTCATAACACTTCCTCAGACACGTAGCCTTAAATGAAGCACCTACACACTGAATCAACAGAAGGACAAGCATAGTGGATCTTACTTTTATATGTATAAGACCTAGTACATAACAATACATGGGAACACTAACATAAAATAGGTAAGCGCTTAACCATTTTATAGCTTTTTCTTTTAGATCTGTATCTTGAAAATCTCTCTCTGTAAACAAACCTTTATAATGTGAACAATGTGCTTGTATGTGCTGTATCTATACACACAATAACTATGCTCTCCTGCACTGTTAGGTTACCGCTTCTCAGATAATATTAACCAAACCACTGAATATTTGTTTGGTTTTCTTTATGTGGGCCACTTCCATCAGCTTGATAAAGTCAGACTTGCTTTATAGTGTCATGTATAGTAAATAAAACATTTAGAATACACTGCATGTATAATACCTTTTAAGTGGATGAATGAAGTCATGGATAGCTCTACCAATTTTTCTATTAGCAGTGTTCCCAAAATAAATGGTACTGTCTGCTTTCTGTTGACCTATTTGGAGGCATAACACTGGAAAAATGTGTAATGGCCACCCAGGCAACACCATTCACATTTTATCACCTAGTGATTAATAATTTACTGGTTGAGTTTATAGGCTCACTCGGGGAGTGATGCACCACCAGGATTCAGTCACAGGGAAGCAACAAGCATGGCTTTATTTGCTTGTGGCTATTACATGTGCCCTTACTAAATGAAGAGCAAGAGCTCTGGAAATGGCTTCACTTTATAATGTGGGCACAAGTAAAAATCCAAAATCCGAAATTCAGCCATTAAAATAAAAGACGGATAATGCACATAAAGATTAAAAGATAATAATTAACTCCATGATGAGAATATATTTTCATATTTTGATCAAAAAACTTTCAGTACATAACAGCATATCTCCTAAAAAATAAAAACTATCCCTACCCCTGTTGGCAGGACGACAGCATTTATCCGTAGCTTCCAAAGCAACAACAAATCAAGATCTGGTTAGACTTAGTTAGCATTAGGGAAAGATCACAGTTTGGGTTAAAAGCACTACTTTGTTAAAGTAAGGGGGCCTTCGTTGTCATGCTTACAATAACAACTACTTGTTAAGGTTACAGAATGAGGTCAGAGGTCACACGCCTCTGGAGCAACTAGTAGTTAAGTGTCTTGCTCAGGGACACATTGGTAAATGTCAGAGGGGGAATCAAACCCAGGTCTCCCAGGCCATAGGCATGTGACTTGTCCACTGCACAATCACTACCCTTACCATGAATAAGGGAAACCAACTGACTTGAAATGGAAAACAAACAGTATTCTCCTCTGTTAAAGTCCGACATTGTGTTGATTAATCCATCTGCCCTGGCCATCTCGCCCTCTGCGGACTTTGTGGCTCCTCCTCTCCAGTTGCTGAAATGACCAATGCTGTTGTTTTTCTTAGGAAGACATTCTCCTTTGTTTTCATACTCCCATGTACCAAAACATGTATCCTGTTCATGTTGCACACATAAGCACAAATTCATAGACACACACCTCCATTTCCCACTGCTACTCTTTACATACACATTTAACCTAGTTATATTTAATTCTTCCTGACTGCCAGAGGCAGTGCTTAATAAAATCCATCTCGCACATGTTCAGTCAGGTCACATGTTCCCAGTTACATGCTGGTGAGGGAGAGAGGACATTTAAATATCCTTTTTTTGTTGCTCTTTTCATTCCATTTTCAGGCTGCCAAAGGCTGGGATTGGTATTTTCATTAGTAGTCTGTTAGTGGTTAGGCCAACAACAGTGCCTCAACTTGAGATTTTCTTCTTACATATGCAACAGGAAAGATCTACAAAGCAAACTCTGATTTGCTGGCGAAAATGCCTGACTGCACATCTGATTAATTGAAGAGGAGATGGGAGCAGGCTGCATCCAGGAGCATTTCTGACAAGATTGTGCCTGCTGGTGACAAATGTTCTACTCAGTTTGTGCTTGGTTCAAAAAGAGACACCTAATAGGACACGGCCAACAATCTTTTTTTTTGGATTTCATTACACAACGAACAAAAGCTAATCAATATCTACATGTAAATTACCGGTGTTTCTTTGTTGAATGAACTGCCAGCAAAGCAAGCCTGGAATCAAGCAGCAGTGACAGAGCTGAATACTAAACTTGCACTCTGTCATGTAAAGCACTCCCTTGAGGCCCAAAACACCTGTTCGTATTTGGACATATTACTAGATGTTTTGGATGTCAACATTAAACAAAATAGTTTATCCAACAAAAAAAAAGGTAACGCTAAGACTGTGTCATCATATCATACAGTGTATCAGTAGCACAGCCACATCAGATCTCTAACGTAAAAAACAGAATTAATGGCTACTTTTGCCTTATTCAGTTTAACTTAAATGAATGTGTTAGCAACATAGTCAACTCATTAGGCTATCCCCAATGGCACAGGAGTGCCCCAAGGTAATGTAGCAAAAAGGTAATACATGTGTCAAAGCAGAGTCTTCGGATTTAGGGTCTAAGGTGAAGCCTCTCAGAGAAAATCAGAGTAAAAATATGCAAATGGAATATAATACCAGATTCTGCATAGATACCAAAACAAAACTGGAATAGCTACATGCATTTGACTGATCTGTGCCATTCTGATTCAAAATCAGTATTCTGATTGCTGTATAAGTGTTTCTGAACTCATTTGGATGAAATTTGATCAAATACTACAGTAAACAACTGAATAATATACGGTGGATATTTTTGATTAATTGACATTGATTATAAGTATACTTTTGCACATGTTCACAATTAAAGCATGTGCTGCAGTGTGTGTGCGCATCGCGGCATTTGATCCACATTCATAAACCTATGAACGCATATTTTCATTTCCCTGATCAAATTCAGGGGAATCCAATCACACGTTTACGGACGGCTTTTTTAGAGTTGCGTCAAGCACGCCAGACTCTTTTGAATGTCCTTAAGAACCTTTCAAAGTAAAAGCTCTCAGTAAATTCGACTGCATTGTTGCAAAAAACAGTGGAAACTGGAAACACGGTGAACTGGAAGCTTTAGTTTTAGCTTTGATTGCAAGCATAGAGTAAACCTGTCCCTTCCGGTTTCATCTTGGCTCCCATGGCATTGCTTGTGTTATGTCCTGTAGTCATGTCAAAAGATCAATATTTTGAAAACATAAAATTCTATTTCCCAATATTAATAATCCAATGCAACTTTGCAAAATAGAACCGGCTACATCAAGAGATGGATTTGCGCTGCAGTAAGTTATTTTTGGCAGTGTGGCTCTCCTCTGGGATCTTCCTGCCCTTCCACGGGCCTACATGGAATGTCGGAGGTAGAGAGCAGCAATAACCCCCTATAGAACTGAGCAAGTATTGATAACAGAATGCCACGATTAATCAGGTATGGCCTGAAATGAAGAGTTGGTGTAGAGGCGGGTTACAAGCTGCTTGCAGAGGAAGCAGCAAGGGCAGGAAGGCTATAGCTGTTGTGGTGGCAGCCCGGCTGACGTGAGTGTCCTGGTTATTTCTCCTTTTTTTGTCTGTGATTCTGTTTTCCCTGTTCTGTGCCTGCCTCCCTGTGTCTCCTCCCCTGTGTGTGCTCTCTCTCTCTCTCCCTCCGCTCCTGAGCCCAGCCAACGACCTGCACCTGCAGCTCGTCAGCCACCTCCTCTGCCTGCCACACCTGCCAGCAATCAACTCCATCTCTGCCAGTACTTCAACCCCGGTTCTCCACGCTACCTCTGCTTGATCGTCGTTGCTCCTTACCTG